CAAAAGAATGAAACGCCAAAAATTCTTCAGTACTAGGTACACGCTTGTCGCTCATTATATGTGACACTGACAGCGTCAAACAGAACACCTGCGTCAAAATGAGTCATTATATCCACGTGAGCGGTTACTGTGCCATATGTGACCCGGCGAAAGGTTGGGAACCACCGTGACTCACTGATAACGACAAATACAGTCAAATGTAATGCATGACTAATGCTGGTATGTACAATGAGATTACCAAAATAGGTAATCAAGAAACTTCTTCTCTAATTACGTATTTAAAACTCTTTTGTTTCTATGTTAACTCCGTTTTTACTGACTCATTGGTGGGATATTGCATTACCGAGTAAGAAGTCTCTATTTCAAATTATAGGATCAGGCAAAGAATTATCGGCTTTTTTGAAAACTAGGAGTCTTGTAAAGTAAAGAGTGTATCGGGGATTAAAAGACGTCAATAATATCTATGATAAAATCAAATTAATCCAAATTTATACTATTTTTCATAAAGTAATGCTGATTAAGTAAAGATTTGATGATCTTTGCAGTCACGATTACGATGCAAAAGCTTTTGTTTCTATAGTTCATGCGTCAGAAATCCACAACAAAAATCAACAAACAATTACAAAGTGTTCAGCTGACATCTCAAGATGGTACAAAACATTTCGTACGTATTTTGTAAGCCCCAGTTAATAAGTATTGTTTATTAAGACAATTGTAATCAGAAAATTATCTGCTTGGCACTGGTGACCTGAATGACACATCGATACGTATTCGTGAACTCAGGGTCACCGTATGGACTTCTGTATGAGGAAAAACATACTTATGGCGTCAACATACCACATAGTTCTAAGATTGTTTATTCATATGTTTCGTGCATGCATTGGCATCGACGACACAGATTACTTTATGACTCATTTTATCAACATTTACAAATGTCTCTTACTTAGTACAGTACTTCTTAGCGATTTAACAAGAATGGTATGCGTAGCAAATGCTTGGAGTAGTTTCTTATTTAAGGACAATAAATGTCATTTTCCTTTGTCATGCACTTATTTTTGGCACACTATACATTCATCTATATTTATGTAGGTATATTATTTTAACTTCGCATCAACAGAGCTCAATATTTTGTCGTTAATTTTTCACTATCATTTGCATAAGCCGACTTGATTTTACCTCGAGCCACAGACTATCCCCAAATGTTCAAAATGCATGACAAATAGACGTTTAAACTCCATATAAGCTTAAATAACCCTGAATATGAACATTTGACGAACAAATACGTTTTGTTACTTAACAACTGTCATTCAGTAGCCGGTGATATCATCGATAAGAGGCAAGAGGTCGCCCGACATACAGTGAACGAGTGCATTCACCTTAGGCTTAGATCATCGCCACTTGCTGGCATCGAGAACAGACTTTGACTGCATAGCGTACTCTACGACTCTGTATTCAATTTTTCAGCATTGCAATTCAGTTACTAATAAATAATAGTACAATATTAGTAATTTTAGGGTGTACAGATTCATGTATCGGCACGAACGGGCCGGCTTGACCGAAATGATATCTACTACGTTCCCAAACAAAATCGGCGGGAAGAACCACTCAGGTTGTATTTCGCCGTGTGAGCTTACCGGAGGCCCAATTCTCAAATCCCCTATCCCGAATCCCTAATAACGCACAAGAGGCCGTAATCAATTTCCTCGTTTGTCGACCTAATGACATAAAGTAAATATAACAGACAGCCGAAGTCTAAGTTTACAACTTACAATTATTTTCTGAAACATATAGTACAAATGATTCCTTCTTTTGATTAATTTTAAACATAGTTTTATATGCCGTTAATTAAAACAGCAGCAAAATAGCTGATGATTTCAAATAAAAGTTCACAGGCTTAGTTAACATCACGATAGAAACAGAGCAATTTCTTCACTTGAATGTTACAAATGTTGCGGTAGAACAAGACAAGTGTTTCGAGGAGCATAGTCAATTGTTAGTTCTTACAACTATTCCTATAACGTAACAAGCTTTAGAAACTAAATTACTTTTTTAAGAAGACTCTAAAATATGTTTTTACTCAAGAGTTTAAGAAGAAGTATTTAATTTAAAGGCAATTTGTGTTTATCATGTTTTTGCTTCATTCAAATTTGTTTTCTTACTGATTCTATAAAAATGTTCATACTTTTTGTAACTGTATGTGTGTTTCCTCATTACACAATCTATTTGCTTAGTCCATTAAACTATATACTTTTATTGTAAAATAAACAAAAAGAACAAAATATTCTATTTTAAGACAAGACAAAGCTATTCTATTCTCATATATGTAACAGTATTAGTCACATTCTGGTATTTGCTATTTTATTTTAGTTCACACTTAGTCCGTTGAATGTGAGTAGGTGGACTCTTAAAAATTAGGGCTGTCCAGTATATTACTGAAGACAAAATAGGAGGTTTAAAGAAGACAACATATAACATTGTTCATATCTACACTTACAAAACTCAAAAAACAATTCAATATAGTCGAGTCATCTACCAACTAATACTGCCGTGTAATGATTAGTACATAAATTAATAATTTGTTACCAACTAAGTTTTTTGTTGATAGAAAATCGAAAAAGTATGACCACACATCTATAAATACGTATTATTACTTGCATTATTGACAAAAACGAGTTTAATTTATAAATCAACAATAATGTAGATATAGAAATCTAGAACGCTGTAAAAGACACATCATATGTTGATGGAGAAAACAGACATTTAGACGCACATGGCTAGACTGGATGTCGGCAGTAATGAATCATTATGTGACTTTAGGCACTCATACAACGTTAAAACCGTTTTAGACTATAGTAAACTAATTATATTCCCACATAAAATAATAGTAGGAACTTTGATATAAATTGTTTCAACATTTATTTCCGACGCCTACGCTCCTAACACTGTTGCTCATCCCTAACGGTTCGATAAATTTCATTGAACATGACATCACGATGGCGATGTGGAACTCCATTGGATAATATCATGATTATCGCAATATGTTTAGTAGTTTTTAGATTGTGTGGGCCAATGTAAACAAATTTGAATGTTGTGATGTTAATAGTGATACCAAACTTGTGAGTTTTTATACCAGTGACGTTTTAAAATAAATTAATTCGTATTCATTGAGCACAAGGATTTATTTTGATTTACATAATTGAGATGAAGGTTATGAAAAATCGTAAGACAATTGATATAATACTGTTGAAGAAAAACGATGAAGATAATGAGTGAGATAAAGACAGTGATATTTAACAGGTGAATATAAAAAGAGTGAATGAAGCTAAGTTCGTTCATTCTATCGTAAACATTATAATCATAACTAAAAGAATACCTTCATATGTAGGTATACACGAAAAAAAAACGAATATGCTTATCTTACTAAATGAAAGATAACTTATAGTTTTTAGGGAAAAGAGCAGATTTTTCCTTTTAGATACAATGACGTAAATCGGTAACTTACCTACCTTAGTATTTAATATTTGGTGCGATAATCTGCTATTCAAAAGATTGCATAAGTATAGTCTAATTCGTAGTTACTACTGTTATTTTGGCAGGTTTTTTCCTTGTATACGTGTTAAAAGGTTTTATCCATTAGATTTTCTTGATTTGAAGTTAATTACTTCTACGGCCGAAGAAATATAGATATTGAAATTAATATGATTTAATTTAGAGCGAAAATTACAATACATATAAAATAATTGAATGGGTGCATTTCTAAATTTGAAAACCTCAAATTTAATTCAACTATAATATATAGTAGTGTGTACGTCCAAAACACTACTCAAAAACATACACAATATGTAAAAATGCTAAGATATAATTTAGCTCATTTATTATATTAATAGTGAGTGTTCATTGTGACTTGCCCACTCGTATAAACAGGAAATTCTGGTTTAGCATAAAGGAAACACTAGCCCATATTGTTATTGGCAACACAAAGGCCCTAAGGTCGAATGACTGAGATAAAGAATTTTTGTGAAAGGCGTAAACCGCAAACAATGGTGTATCCTTGGCATAAGACACACCATTTGAGAATCCACAAATACATAGATATCCATTGTTTTACTGTTTTGAACAACCATCCCTAATTAACTATTTTGTAGCTACCTATCTTCAAAGTTACAAACTCATCGGATTTTTTACTCAAAAGCCACAGCTCAGCGCATATTTGTTTATAATTATCGTTTAACATCAACTTACGCAAAAACACGATGTCCATAAAAGGTCGCCACATAAATGCCAAATGGCCAAACTTAGCCTGAGACATCTCAAACTTCGTCTATTTTTCCACAAGTTTTATTATCACTTGCTCGCTAACTGCTACACTGTCGTTTAACGGTCAGACGTTAAGAGCCATTGGTCACTAAACTTGATTTATTGTTGGCATCGCTGTTTGTATTAGAAGTATCATAGTACCGACGTTGGTTTCGAAAGCGCTTGCAACTATTTCTAATCTAGTTCGTATCTATTTTAATTACGTACTGGGTACCAGAGCCCACATTCCAAAGGCAACATTGATCTGTGTACAGTTCTCTATTGTCGCTGTTACTTAGGCAGTTCAACATGTCTACCGCGTAAACGACCTCAAAACGGCATTCGACCTAGTCGAGCGTAATCTAACATAACTCAAGTCGGATCGAAATCTAAACGCGAAAGTTTACGTTTCGTTACCCAACCGTCTTCAAAATACATATTTTCGTCTTTATTTAGTAAGAAATAAAGTTCATAATCATTTTCTATAATCAGGGACACGTGCGGAATGGAGGTATTAATGGAGTTGGTTATCTACAACAAAGCATTCTAGCGCTTTACGATTCCGGCCGGTTTAGTAGTGTGCACGCTATCGTTCGTTTACTACAGCGCTTCATCGCTGCCATTACGTTTTAGCCTGCGATGACTCAAGCCTCGGTAAACAGTATGCGGGGCGATGAGTCACCGTTTTACACATTCGCGTATAGCGTTTGAGTAGTGTTGTCAGTCTACAGTTGGACTCGTCAAGTAACCGAACCGTCCTAGGCGTTATATCGCAGGGTTTACTGCCAAGCGCCTAGACTTAAAACATAATTGGCGAGATAAGCTACTGTTGTAAAAAACATTTCGTGAACGTAGAACAAGAACAAGTTTGTGTGAAAGTGTAGGTCTAGTTTTGTAACCTGTGTGTGTGCGTGTCGGTAGTGAAACGGTCGATAAAATTGGTGATCGTTCTGTGCTATTTGTGGATTCCTTACATACTATTGGATTTGTTGGTGATAAGTTGGATTTATGGTTTAAAAATGCCGTCGAACAAGAAGTTGATTTCAAAAATGCGCCAGATTGCACAGTGGATCTTAGTTGTGCATGTGGTAAGTTGCTTCACCGTTTCATTCATTCATTTTGGTACATCATGTTATCTAATGTTTGGAATAAGATGAACTAGATACTATTACGTTCTTATTATAACAATAGCGCGTTTTAGAAGAGAAGCTACATAAAATAGATGGCGTAAGTCAATTAGACTATGGAATGTTGAGTTTTGTTTATGAACAGATAATTTACTCAAGTGTTCGAGAGCCTTAGAATAAACTAAAATCGAGACAGCAGTAAGTAAATATTGATTAGGAGCCTCCGGGTGATCTCGAGGGTTGACTTAACTCAGTTACAAGTTCGAAGAGCAAAGTTTGCTCTTCGATACGAGAAGCAAATCTTTCCTCTTTTCAAATACGAAAATAAAATTCTTATAAAATACTATGAACTCGAAACATTGGAACAGGACGAGATTAAAACGAACAAACAATACACAAAGGATAAAGCGTTCTATTGTTGACAAGTATGAAATCTAGCACTAGAGTAAATAGTATCCAAACTTCATTTATCACAACTAAGTTGTAGTCGAGTCGTATTGTTCTCAATGAGGTTCCATTGTATATTACAAAAGATTTATCACCTAATCACCACTCCATATCCGGTTTGCAGGAACTTCGTTATGAGCCATATAACAATTTTGTCGCCTTTCAAAAACTTACGCTGTGACAGATGAACAAAGTTTACAAAATAACTAAATCTGATCTGCGTCTCTTTTTGTATTCACAATGACAGCCATAAAAGGACTATTCAAAAAATTTTTTTGGATCAACAAAAACTTGTCATGTTCGTTGTGTTTATGCCAGCAAAGCTATTGAAGGACTAAGACATGAAAACTAAAGCATTCATTCAAAATTCTAATCAGATCTCATTTACCAGCTTTAATTCTTACTTCTTACAACTGCTTTTTAAGAACTTATGGCACGATGACCTTTAAGAAGTGGTGTTGAAAATTTCTTCCATAATTGCTCCCTTCATTGAAACATTCGTAAGGGTCTACTTAAAGAGACCCCACGCCCGGCCCTTTGGGTGACTCGGACTCGCAACTTAGTAATTAAGCTTATTTCCTGCGTTTGTTTTGTCGTTTCCAACATTGTATGCTTTGTCTAGCCAAACACGCTCCTTGAATCCTTATTACAAATAGTACACTTAGAAAAGTAAAACAGATTCAAGCGACATGTTGCCGAATTCAATTTGGAGACTTTATTTTATATCTCTCAATTTTTATCGGTGCCAAAGTAAACATTAATACTATGACTCGTTGACTAGACATGTCACAGACACAGGGCTTTACGCCAATATTAAATTGAAATGCGTCGTCAAAGCTCACGAAAGTGAAAAGAGTAAAAGAAAATCTGTTTAATTCAGTTTTATAGGACCTGTTTGCGGTCTCTGGTTTGCCGAACGTGACCAGACAGTAGCTGGCGGCGGCCTAGGCCTGACCGTGCCAATTGCCGGCCGGCAAATGCAATTCTCCCTAACGAATTCTTATTTTTCTATTTTATGTTGCGATGCAATCTGTTCTGTTTGCACATCTGTGCAAAGCATGAGACAAATACCATAAATTCTTAGTTAAGTTTTCAATTTCATATCAGCACGTTCCATCACAACAAGAAGATAATTTATTAAAATTGTTATGCGTGTGTTTGAGATTTTACGTTGATAGTAAGTTGTTGGTCGTCATCATTTGTTATTGTAAACAAAACTGGTAATTGTAATAATGACTCACGTTCGTCTTCAAACGCAGATGCTAAGAGCTTGGCTAATTAGTCACTATATTCGTAATCCTTGACTGCAAGGATGTGAGAAAAAATACGTTTGTTATTATTGTCCTATACATTACTAAATTTTTGAGTTTGTTTAAACCAATGCTTAAAGAGATTAAGACAAACGATATGGAATAGCCATTTGTATTACTCTGTAGGCAGATGTTTGCTAAGTTTTTTAAGCCTTATTTGAAACGCGATTGATTCACAATCTAAAAATATTTTTGGGTGCGGAAAAATTCACAAAAAAAGTATAGCTATAATCAAGCATTACCATATTGAAGTCACGCGACACCGCGCTATTTTAGTTCGGGATCCCAGGAGGCGTGTCTCCGGTATTAATACATCGGGCCGGGCTGGTGAGTCATCTTGCCGTCTGAAAGCTCCGTCTTGTCCCACATCCTTCATACTGTTTGTATTACTCATACTGGGTGAACCCGGAATCGTTTATATGGACGACTTGCCGGTATCTAGAGCTTGTTTATTATTAACGCGATTGTCCAATACAAATTATACAACACCGTGGGCAAATTCAAACAAAAAGGAATTCCCGTCTCTGCCAACACATTCTGCAATATCTCGGTCAGATATAAAAAGTCTGTGTAGGAGATTTTAATCACATAGCAGAAGATTTTTTAAGGTCGCCGTGAGTCATTAGTAAGGACGTCAACTCACACGTGCTTTGGTATTGTAGAGGTATTTATTTTAGATCCTGAATTCCAAAAGCATCAACCAGTGTTTCCGAGAAATCTATTTACTTACATCCATTAAATTGTTAATCATAGCGTGATGGATGATGTTAAATATCATGTATTTCCTTGTTTGCTCTTTGTCCGAGTCACAGCTTGATCACAATCAAGGCTAGAATTGTTTATCTTATTTCGACTTCCTTCCTAGCGTTACTATTAGCTTTGAAAAATAGACTTTGCTGTAGCCTAATTTACATTCTGTTTGAGTTGAGATTTGCGAAACTTGTTGCTGGATTTATTTTATTTCAATGTTTAATTCGTTTTATAATGTAGTTGAACGAGGAGTTTTGTTACTTCCCTGTTTTGTTAGGACTATTTTTTCATCTTGTATACATTCTATCATACTAACTTTTGGTACTTTGTTAAATAATCTGTCGTACAATGTAGCAGGAAGGTAATTACAAATGTACAGTCAATGCTACCGTTGTGTATATGTAAGTACCTTTACGAAGTAGGAGAGCAGGAAGTGAGCTGTTGACTACTCTACCCCCATTATACGATACAATTGATGAATGGCCAGACGCGAACATGTGTGCTTGAGCAGAATTCAATTTGATCCCTTTCGAAGCTAACCCTTTCGCTTGAATGGCGGTATTGATTTGAATCAGTAAATAAAATGGGAAGGGGTGATACTACATAGGCTTGTAAAAATTATAAATGTTGAAACATACTGTTAGTATATGAGATATCAGAAATGACAATCATTGCATTTCGAATTTCACATTTGGATCTTATTCATCGTGTTTATCTGCGGAAATGTTATTCAGATAAGATAAAACAATTTATTGATAACATCGATTTGTTTGACACAAAGATCAAGAAAATAGCCTAAATAACATATATTGTTCTTTAAAAAATATGTATAACTATATTTTTGTTGGATTTTAATTAATCGTCAAAATATGCAAATAAGTAGCGTAGAAATTTGTGTAGACATCGCAAATCAAAACTGGAGGGTGGCACGGTCGACGTTTAATTATGTAAATAAATTTTCATGCATAGCAAGGAATCGTTAAACAATGCGCCAGATGAACCGAGCCTACCCTTCTATAGCTAAAGTTTAAAAGAGAACTGCCCCTCGGGCAAAAACGGATCACCCTTTTGTTCTTTTTGATGTACTGTCGTCCAAGTTTTGGACAAAGATCCATTTAATAAACGTGTACTGTATTGCATTATACATTTACAGAGTATGAGGCATTACAAATTTTGCCATAAAACTGTTGCGTAAACTTTGATTACGTAAAGTAAGACGCATACGGTGAACTGTTTACGTAAACAACTCTTGAATCGGAATTCATCTGGGCTGTTACTAATTTAACCCTTAATGAGAACTTAGTAAGAGAGATCTTTCCAGTCCGGAGGCGCGGAAACGGGAACTCATCACTGTCTCTAATGGCCTGAAACCACCCCTCGGCTTAAACAGATATCAACTTATAAACAGATTCGAAAAATAAAAATTCCCAAGCCCTTCAGAATTGTCCTCCCATTATTTGAGGCGAATTTTAATTGCGTGTTTCTTTTTATGAGGTACCGAATGCCGTATAGATACGAAGATTTTAAATAAATCTCTTTATCTTTGATGGCAGACGGACCTATCTCATATATCAGTATTGTCGTTCGTTGTATTCGTTTTACACATGGCATGCAACATGCTATTTTATGTTGCCCTTTCGGACATGGCCGGATGAAATAAAAGCAACAAACATCCCAGTAACGCGATATAAAAATTTGTCTTCACTCGAACTAAATTTGGCAGCGTCCCCTGAAATGTTATCACCTCATAGTATCGTCGATGCACACAATATCTCATAATATTCTTTATATCCGTCCCCATAAACAGAAACGGGTCGTGGTAATGACGCCCCGTTGAGGGGAGAGAGGACGTCTAACCGGCCGTTACGGTCGCTGAATATGTGACCGCTGCATTTTATTACCACTTTACTCTGCCACATAATCGACCTTCATGATGAAGGGCTTCTTTCCGACTAATAGTCGGTCGGAATGCGATGCCCGTTGTCCTATATCCTCGATCCCAGCTTTTGTAGCGTTAATTGTTCAATAAATTTCCGTATGTAATAATAGGGTAATTTAAAGATCCCATTCCAGGCGTTTAGAATTGCAATTATTATTCAAAAATTTAAATCATGTTACTAAGGTACTATTTTGTATTGTTTCAGGTTGAATTTATAGAAGCATACTGCACACCACGTGACACAGCCCGCCGCTCCCCACAGCGAAGCCGTCGCTCCAGAGAACAGCGCCGCTCCCCCGAAGCCACCAGATGGCGTTACGACTCCCGCCGAACAAATTACGACTTTGACTCTTGTCGAAGGCCGTACGATTACGAAAGTCGAAGATATAACTACGGTAGAGACTTTGACGAGGATTCGGGAAGGCGAGCAGAGTTTGACGCAGGCTCAGCAAGGCGACGAGCGGATTACGAGTCCGCTAGAAGGACCGACTTTGATTTGTCGGCGCCTAGTGTGTCAAGGCGTAGTCCCGAAAGTGCCCCTGAAGGATCAGTGGAATCTCCACCAGAACCAGCACCATCTGCACCATTGAGGCACGAGAGACAAGCCAGACACAGATCTCAACCATATTACGAATCAGGTAAGTTTTCAAACCAAAATGTTAACATCCCCATTGTTCGTGATTAAAACAAAAGAATAAACATCGATATTAAAAGTGATAAGGAATAATCATAACAAACAAAATGATACTTTCTTCATAGAAGGTATCATTTTAATTCATACTTGATAAGTTCATACATGTTTTTGCATTGAAAACCTATGAATTGGGTAGTGATAAGATTAAGAAGATTCGTCGAATTGAGTTTTTTTTTATTTATATCGATCAATGTTAATTGATACTATTTCTTTGAATTTGTTTTTTGTGTATATGAACTGAATTGAAAAGCATATTTAAAATGATTAAACATATTTTGTATAACATGCAAGTATTTATGTTCTGCTCAAAACATTTTTTAAGTGTAGGTAATCGCAAATACTCCACACAATATAAGAGAACAAAATTTAGAATTGAAGCCAAGATTCTCGGTTCATACCTAATATTCTTGCTGTAATAAAGCAGGAATTTAATTTGTGAAACTAAAAATAAACTTGCTTTAAAAACACTAGGTATTCAAAAACGGCGCTAAGTAGCTAGCGAATGGCTTCCTAAAAACAACGAAATTTTGCGCTTCATTTTCTCGGTTACGTGCAAGCTCTTACTTTTTTAAGAACATCCTCGTCTAGGATGGGACAAAGGGTTCATTCTTCCAGTGCAACAATTGTGCTGGAGTCTAGTTAGGCCATTGTTTTCTCGTGGTTACAGATATATACTTGTAGTCCTGCTTTTATTAAAAAAACATCTCCTTGTTTTTTAAAGATGCCATCTTTGTTCCACAGTGTTGGTAATTAGGTCAGTTAATCTGGTACAAACGTTTGTACGTGATCCTAACGTATAATAAATAACTGACTGCTTGGATACTTTCCAGAATTTATTAGTAAATTACTACGATAATCGTCATTGAAAATAATAATAGGTGGAAAATATTTTGGTTAATGGTGATTAATGTACAAATGGTCTGTAATTAGCGTAGTCTTAATATTCTGTCAATTCATTCTTTTCTATTTTTACTTTTGCAAAGCTTTGCGTGCAACTAAGCCTTTGCGTCAAAGTAAATCCATATTATCGGTAAATGCAAATACCAAGCATTAATTACACGATTGCAGTTCTTTTTTATCATCCTGGGACTTTCATTCGCTAATACCAGCTAGTATTGAAGCAACAATAGCAAGTTTTAATCAGCCCTTATGTCGTTTGTCCGTCCGTCTAGACACGGCTGAAAAAACGTCCGGGTTTTATAATAACGGAGGTTTTTTTTACAATTGCTACTGGATATATTATCAAGGATAGTTGGTGTAAGTTATCATCGTAGGGTTTAAATCGAGTTGTGAAAATAAAGCTGAGAATCGAATGAAAATAATTTAAGTACGAGGTACGTACGAGTCGATTACCTTTAACCTTTCACTGCCAACGCGTTTCAGAAAGACATTTAACACGTTAATCGCGGCAATTTAACAAATTTCGAGCCGCGGCGCCTGGTCATCCACGCGGAAAAGTAATTACGTCACCTAATGACGTCACTTACCCTCCCATCTACACTCTCCACGTCGCTAATAGACAATTTGAACAGTTTTTGACGTCGTTTTGTTCAATCGACGCAACGTGTTGAACGTATTGGGACATCTCTTTTATTTGATGGCAGAAATTTTCCTTGCGATTATGTTTTTTACGAAGCGTTTGAATAAAACGCGTACAAATATATAAGTTATATTTTATCCTCAAATAAATAGTAATATTTGCAAGACATAAAAATAATAATGTGTATCACAACAAAGTTTCGCAAACTACAAAGAATAAATGCTCCACAGAGTAATCTAAATGAAGCAACGGAAAATACAGTATTAAAACAAAAGAAGCACAGACCTTGTTCTAGGGAGCGCATTTAAAAAAAGTTTATTATAAAATGGCATACTACGTCTGCCTACGATTCGTTAGTTCTTTCCTATCGTCGTGGCTTTTAAATTCAGACTTTAATGTTCATGATGCATTCAGAAGGAGTCCTTTGTTATACGAAGCAAGGAAAACTCGTTAGGGTATTTTATCATGCCTTTGAAATAACATTAGCTTCGCATGTAGGCACGTGTATGAGGGTTAAACGTATTCATTAACTGAGGTAATGGTACTCAAGATTCGATTGAAATGGAAATGAATAAATTTAAAAATGGAGGGTTCATGTTTAGTTCCAATTTTGAGATAAAAACAGTTCAATCAAATATATTGTGGATCGAATAGCTAATTGTAAACTGATTGAACCAAATATGACCCATAATGTACTTATTATAATGATATCTAATATAATTACAATTCATAAAAATATCAAGAGAGTTTAAACAATCAACAACATAGCTGATAAAGGCCAAATATCTTAGTGATTGCGTTGAGTCTCAATAAAGACAATTTAAATGAATATTTCAAATACGTTAAACGAAGACCGTTTATCAAATCACCCTTTTGTGTTTGCCCCTTCTTGCGTAAATTAGAACTACTGGAAACAAAGTCAAATTTATAACCATTAAAACTTGACAACAGCATTATTTAGAACCAAAACCATCAAATTTATGAAGAAACGAATAAAAAAACATTTTATATACTTGCCACTTTCTTGAAAAAATGCTTTTCAATTCTTAACAATTGGTTGCATTCTTGAGGGGATGTAGATTCACAATCGGAACGTTCGGGTATAAACGACGTCACTTGAGACAAGCTGAGTTCTATCAAAAATGAAAGTAAAATTGTAAATCCACGTCTGGCTCGTTACCGAGCTTAGTTTATCCGAATTGACTAAAGCTACTCTTGTTCACTTGAATGCGCATTCATTCTTCTGAAATATCTCCTTAAAAAAGTATGTGTACAAACATGACTTTGTTTTGTTCTAGAATCATCATCAGAGGATCGCTCAACATCATCAGAAGGAGAGGAAGACGAATTTGGAGAATTTGATCCATTTGCCACAGCACCTTCTCTACATTCCCCAGACAGTGGTCGTTCAGACCCGCGATACGCTAACGCGCCGCGAAGGAACCCAAGTCCTTACTACTACGGTGATTTGTTCAAAACACCTCAACAAGCGCCAACACCATCAGCCCCAACTATTTCAACAACGTCATCTTCTCGTGGTCCACGATACAGGAAGTCAGCTAGTCTAGACGCACCTCACGTTGCTCCTAGACCAAATCTACCCAAAAGATTCTCAGTTGCTGAAGATGGTTTCCGTGAGCTAGAGCGCTCATCATCTTCGTCTGGTGAGAGCGCGTGGATGCCGCCGAGGCGTCGCGGGCGCGACGCGGCCGGCTGCGCGTGCGCCGCGCCCGAAGATGTAGAGGAGCATCGTTCTTCTCGCAGCGTCTTTTACGTGCCAGCGCCTCTGCCCCGCTGGCCGCAAGAGATGACCACCAGACAGATTTACGAAACAGCCTTCGACTGTAAAATTGCCCGATCGGATGATGACTTGGACGACTTTGATAGAGTCAGTAACCACCCAGCCCTTCTGCAAGCTGAAGACCGAAAGGTCATTTCTTCCGCATCATCGGCTTTTGAAGCTGTTGAGCGCAGCGAACCTGATTATAAAGGCCGCCGCAAGGTGACTATGAAGACGGATAGTGTTCGCCGCTCTAAAATCCCAACCATACGTCAAAAGAGGGAGAATGAGAACAATGCATGTGCCTTGTCTGAGGAATTAGAAAAAGTTCATATTGAAGAAGATGGCCGAACGGCGTCAGCGTCGCAACTTCCACTACGCGGATACACGCCTTCACCACCATCAACAGCCCCTTTGCCAACAAAATTCCAACAGAAAGACGGATCTGCCATGAACAGTATCAAAAGCGCTCCTAATTTGCCTCAATCACAACCAGCACACCCTCGTCTGAAAGACTTAAGGTTGCCTGTAAAGTCTTTACGCGCTCGTGACACTCCTACGAGTAGCGATGCTAGCATGGCTGATGTAAAAGGTTCAGTATCTACTGAATTAGATCTCGGACAGCGTCTAAGAGATTCCAGTCGCGAATCTCGCGATGGTGATGATGAAGGAGGGCAATCAAAAGACGGTATTTTTTTAGAGATTAAGGGCCGGCCCACTTCCGATTCTGACACACCTGAATTGAATCGGTACACGGGGCCAAAGGGGGTCGGCCCTATAATGGAGTTTAAGGGAAGGCCTGGAGTAATTCGTCCGCGACGTAAATATTCTAGCACGGAAAGTATGGCGACAAGCAGTAGTGGAGGCAGCATGGAGTCACTCCGGAGTAGTAATAGTGAAGGCGATAGGAGTAGTAGTAGTTCAGAAAGTCGTCATTCGTCTTCGCTAAGTTCACACAGCTCTGATTCAGGAAATGTGCCATTCACGAAATCACATCACATGCAGTTATCGGGGTTTGGGCACCATCCAGCTAAATTGCATATCCTTAGCCCAATTTCCGATAAATCATCACAAGAACCGGCCTCAGAAACATCTGATAATAATAAGAATAATAATTCTCAAAAAGTATCACCTGAAGATTGTGAAACTGGTAATACGACGATGCAAACGACTGTTGAAATTGTTGCCAAACCTAAACGACGTGCGTTACAAAACAGGAATCTTTTAAACCTCACATTTAGACATTCAACAACTGGCGATTCTGAAATTCAAGGCTCCGACAGTGGAATTTCGATTCACTCTAGAGAAGGCGTAGACTCACGCAATACCTTCATCAATTTCAAAAATAGTAATACTGAAGAGGAACGAAAAGATGAAGATGTAGATCTATCAGATCTTCCATTCGACATGCCCAAGTTGAGGAGACGACGGGCCGAGGCCGAAGCCGACTTACGATCCTTGCCATTTGACATGCCCAAACTACGTCGAAAATTACGCGGGCAGTCACTACAACTAAATAACGACTTTGGAGGGGCTATCTCGAATGCCTCTTCTAGCCAAAGCGTGCAAGACTTAAATCAAGGTTAGTATTTTTTATTTAACTTTGTAATTTCCATTTCAATTAACAGGAAAAAAAACAGCTTTATCAATCAAGTAAAACTCTAATATGTCGAAATAGTTTATACGTCAATCTTGTGAAAAAGAACTATACTCGAAGGGTCTGTCGACTCGAATTGTTGGTTCTTTCTAACTGGAACTGAACGCCATCACATTATGCCGATTAAGACGTATGACTCCGGATTGCTCCACACGAAATTCTCTGGTCCAACGCCCATCCAATATTTAATTTGCTTGAGTGCTTTTTGAGGGAACTTTTTCCTGTACATGTTGGGAGCAATTTGTAACCGTTCAGTTGAGTTAGGAGTTTGTATCGCAGAGGATTGCGTGTGGCTTGACGTAATAAGTGGTGGCATCTTAGATTCAATCAATGCTAAGACCAAAAGTTGATCGTCTCGAATGATTTTACTCAATCCCATTTATCATTTCTTTCAGGAAACAAACACAAACCGAATTTGAAGTTGAATTTTGATAGCGGCAGCGGTGGTTCTGGCAGTTCTAAGGGATTGCACTTAAACTTGGGACCGATAGCTCCGCCTCGAGATTTGGTTGATGCTTCTCTTCCACTTGACCGACAAGGGTAAGATATTATTTTTAACATAACGTTATTGATTCATGACCTTTTGTTTAAAAACTAGTATTTTTTAAAAGGAGTAAACGAGACTTATTGTTTCAATTTTTTATAGGTGGTACCACGGGACCTTATCGCGCGTTGAAGCTGAGAGTCTGCTAAGGGATGCGGATGAGGGCGCTTTTTTGGTTCGGAACAGCGAATCAGCAAAACACGACTATTCGCTAAGTCTGAAGTGAGTATCTACTACATATAAAAGTTCCACATATTTTTTGTGCATTATATCATTATGTTGAGTCATCTTGTTTACTATCAAATATTAGCGAGTTACGTCTTTGGAATATTTTCGCAGCTGTTCTAATTTCGTGTTTTTCCTTCTTTTGCAGGTCAACACGTGGTTTTATGCACATGCGTATTTGCCGTAGTTTAGACGGTTACACTTTGGGTGGTGCGGCGACTGCCTTCCCTACGGTGCCGGCTTTGATGCGTCACTACGTCACTGCCCAGAGGCTTCCAGTTCGGGGTGCGGAACACATGGCACTGTCCACACCTCTGCCAGCCGTCCTACTTTGAACATCCCATCAGGACAGATGGGTTTTTAATTTGAGTGAACCTCGATCGGACGACCGGTCGGTTCGGAGTTCGGAAAGGTGTACATAAACAGCGATCGGAAATCCAAGGTGTGATTATTTTTGTTTAGATTGCTGAAGAAAGCACAAGTAAAGGAGTTATTTAACGTATTTGTATAGCTTTAGGAATCCAGTGAATAATACCAAAGAGTTAGAATTCAATTGCTGACGAACTGGCTTACATTTATTTGTATACGCTCAGGTAGCAATGTAATTATGCTAGTCCAGAATATCGCAGCCACATTATTAAATACATTATTTATTCGCATATAATCATTTTCACATTTAAATGTATCGTATACTATGTCTAACGAAATAGGTACTTATGTTGTATTGCTTCGTATTACTCATTCATCGTTTATCTTATGCATTGATACCATATATCTTTTATTAATCAGTGTTAACTATATGTATGTTGTACGTTTGTTTGGTATTGACGCAAACGATGATATTAAGTAGTTATATTGTGTGATTATTCGTTTTGCAAAATATTTGCGATGAGTCATTAAAACATTAATCTGACCTCTATATTCATTTGCAATAACTTGGCCTAAGCAATAGACTAGTAAACCTAATTACCTATTTGCTAATGGTCTTGTCGTGGAAACACGTCACAGCTTACGGTAGACTTTGAAACAATATTATTCTTGTCTCGAACCGTACCTATTTACGTAAGTTTGAAAATAGAGGAATATTCCTTTACATTTGAAACAATGGCTGTCTCATGATGATACTTAATTTTATTATTGTAATAGAAAAGCGCTCCAATGCAGTTACTATTTAGAACGACATTGCCATGATTCACAGACCACGTAGATACAGGTGTGAAGAATCAAGTCTGAATATAAATTCGTTTTAACAATAAGTGACTCACTATAAAAACATTCAACTTTATATTAAAAGCGCGTAAACTGCTTACGCAAACTATAAAATGTATTCAGCAAGGTTAAAAACAAATCAGATTGCAAACCGTGGAATATTTATGTAGCAAACATGAAATAGGTGGGCAAAGTTGTCACATTGACGAGAATATATGTTTAAATAGAACCTTGATACGATAGATACAAGGTTGAGTTTAGTAGAACTTGTAATGGAATGAGTCATAAGCACATGGGTCGAATAGACACGAAAATAATATCGATTTAGTACAAAATTGTACTGAGTAGACCTGTTGTCAGTTGGTACTTTTATACAAATTCAAAACAGTAGATTACTTATTTATAACTAACCTTCAAGTGTCTGTATTAATTTTAAAAATATTCGCTAGTGCAGTTCATGAGCTGTCGTCAGGCGGTGAAAATGTCCCGCCAATAAAAATTAACACATACACTTGAGGCACAAAAAAATTGGCCAACATGAAACGACACTAAATATAATAAAATTTTGATATAGCTTTCATACTATAGTGAAGTTTTAAGCTAATCATGACTAATGGCACATAACAGAATTACATATATAAGATCATAGATGAAGATTGCACATGTTATGTAACATTCACATCATAACTTATTTATATTTTTTGTTATAATAGAATTTAAGTAGAGTAACGGGATGGATATGGGGCCCTCAATAACGGATAGATTTAGTTCCTCTTCATAGTTTTATATCACTTGGTACTTCTACAACGATATATTGATAACCAGTGATGTATTCAATGAAAGGCGTAGCAGCTATATTTAATAGATTCTTCTGTGATTTTGTGTTTAATACAATAAAAGCCAAAAAAATGTTGTGTATTATAAAATTAAGTTCATCGTATTTATTATGTAACGCATATTCATGCTTATATATGTTCACATTTTGTCTAATAAATGTAAAACAAGATCTCATGGAATACTTCCTTTGGATGGTTCAGTTACCCTAGTGTTAATTTTGATTGATTTGTACCTGATTTTTTGAGAAACGTTGTTTGAGACTTAAAATTTAATTACGTTTTTAACAGATTTATTTTGTTAATTAATTTAGTGATCATTAGAATAATAATATAAAAGTAGAAATGTATGAGAATGAACGAATTTTTCGGATGTATGTGACATTTATTATTGTATGTAATTACTTAACCACCGCGAAGCAGCTTTTGCAAGCGTGCAACTAATTTTAATTATAGAAATTAATGTACCGTTTTATTATTAAGCTGTGGTACTTATTACATGAGAAGGGAAGTCATTTTGGGTCCAGAATCATCGTCACTGACGATTTTTAACATCTACATTTTGTAGAATAAAATTTAATTTCTTATTCACCCATCTTATGTATTATGTACATGTATGATTATGTAGTAAACGCGTATTGGAAGGTAGGCTAAAGATAACGGATGAAATTCTTATATTTGGAAGTTTTGAAAACGTGTCAAAATTCTTTTTCATGAGCGATGTAGGTCCCGAAACGGAGTTAGGTAAAAATTATAGCTTATAGTAGTTATAATCAAGTGTAATTTTGAAGGTGTAGTTTGAAAATTGACGATGAAATAAATTCCATAAAAATATTTTTTATCTTTTATTCCTATATCCCCTTATAAATAGCACAACACAATTGCACACACACACACTGTTAATTTGCCACTACAGTGCAAATTATTAATCTGGAAAGTAAAAACAACTCTTAAAAAGAGTAAATTGGTAGGTATGTACCTAGTACCTAAGTATAATTGGTAGTAGGTAAGTATGATTTCAATATTGACGTTTAAGTGAATGGTGTGGTCGCTTATAAGAAGTGCATACTAATATTATCCTCAAAAAATGACAATATGCATGTTATTGTGTAGCTTCTGTTGGCGGTCCAATAAATAAATAAATATAATGAAATATGTAATCGTGCTAAAATGACTAGGTCACCAATTAAGGACGACCTCACCAATTAATAATAAGTTGATTCATTCTTATAAACAAACAAACTTACTGAAGAGGAAAATCAAAATTATTTTTATTATCAAATTACTACTCCCGTCCAGAATGGGATTACTGACTTACCCTGCACTAGACCGAGGCTGCAGTCACGGTCGCTTGCCCCGCAACCAGCGGCAGCTACTTTCATAAGAAGAGATACCTATACTCTAAAATGAAGTTAACGAAATCTAATAAGATATTATAATCTTTTGTTATAAGATCATAGCATATACCTATTATACCTTCTATTAAATATATTTTTTTTCACCTCATCCGAAAATTAGAAACTATCGTTTAGCGCCATCTATTTTTCATCTCATGTAACTGAACAGATTCTCGATTCGGTATTCAAAAGCGCCATCTACCTTTTGCTATGTGTATTACTTGGTACAGTAGGTAGATACCAGAAAGGTGAAAGGTCGTCATCGTCGTTTTGATGAAACAACATAGATGTCGCACTTTTAAAGAAATGTTAAATACGACAGTAATTTACCAGTCCACTGGTTTTAATTCATAAATATGATATTTAAAATACAGCGTACAGGTACAACAAAACCAGTTTAAAATACATTCGTACGTACTTTTACATTTTATAGCTGAAAATAATCGTCAATGCTTTTATCACAATATAAATAGTAACCTATTTAAAATAGAGAGAGATATGGAATTAATAGAATAATTCTTTCAAACTTTATCGAAACCGATTTATCTTTAACGAAAGAATTAACTTTAAAAGTAACACTGTCTATACACATTGTGTTCACGGACAAAATTAATGAAACATCCCTTTGACCCTTTCGGGTGGCTTCCGTCAGTTTTTCACCCTAAAGCCATTAAGGGTTCTAAGTGTTTCTATAGAAGGAAACGTATCTACGTATATTTATAGATCTACACGCTAGGTGCGTTTAGATAAATGGATCTTTTATTCCTCCATCACTGACTTTTATGGAAATTGATGGCATAATAGAACACCATTGTTATAAAAATATTTTTTTATTATTAATATTTTGGGGTAAAATAATCCTCAACTGACTTTGTGTTTCATTATTCATATTAATCCGAATAGTTAGTTAGGATGTGCCTAAGTACCTATTCGGAATTTTAAACATTTTGGATTTCACGACAAATAGATGCAGCTCGTGAATGAAAATTATTTTTTCTTAATTTTTAACCTACTCCAAAACACGATACGGTCCAAAGTTGAAAACTTGTCACGCTTCATCTCACACAAGGAAATCAAACAAAGAATAAAATCGATCAGTAATCAATTAATTAAAAATGTGCGGTAGATGAGAATGATGTGAACTATATCTATTCATACAATAAAACCAACATAAATTTCATTGAATTGAAGAACACTGACAGTGTTTGAAACGTCAAGAAAAGAAGTTAATTATAATTAAGTTTACAAATTAATACTTAAAGTTTTAAATAACTCAATAAAAACTACTTAAGTTAAAAGAAAACCATCAAACTTTGAAAGAAGGTGTGTTTTGTAATGCGCATTTTAGCGTAGTGTTTTCGTAGTATAAACTTTATTTTATGTTTTGGTGTTCGCAATTAACAGTGTTATTTATTGTGATTCATTTTGTGTTTATTGATGTAGTGTAAGGCTTCAGGCGAATTTGGTGATACTTATCAGAATTTACTGGGAGGACGTCGTTATGTTTCGGTAAGTTTCTTATTTTTGTGCAAACGAGCGGACGGTACGGCACTGATTGCTTAGTGCGGTGCTGAATGCTTACCATCAGGTAATCCTGACATTTAGAGATTGGGGAGGCATTAGATGATTGGAAGATTTGGGCCTCCGGTAACGTCACTCACACGGCGAAACACAACACTGTTGTTTGTTTTACGCCGTATTCTGTGAGGTCGTGGTATCACTCCGGTCGAGCCGATCCATTCGTGCCGAAGCATGGCTCTTCCACTTTTTAGTAATTTTGTTTTAATAATAAGTAATTTTGATTTATTTAAAAGCGTTATTGATTTCACGATCAATCTTACGATTTTAAGATTTTCTATCTAAGTATTGTATTTTTTTCTTATGGTTGCGTTTATTTGTTTAGTTAGGTACTTGGTTAGTGCAGCTGTACCTTTAATCTAGTCTTACATGTCTTGTCCACTGAAAGCACTGATCCTTTACGATGTTAAATGGTAGAAGTGGACAAAGGAGCAAGCAACTGAAGGGTACCATCAGTTGCTTGCTCCTTTGCCCACTTCTTCTTTACGCTACTGTTTACAACGTTATGTTTTATGCCGGTTTTCTATGAGACTATTACTCTCGTCGTACGAATCATTAAGTATGGCTGTTCCATACTAAATTACGCAGTAAATATAGCCAAAAAATATATAAAAAAAATCCATCACCTTTTTTTTATTTCGTTATTATACCAATCTTTTTATACCAGTGATGACATGTCTCGAAAATAAATAAATATCTAAGTATTAAGTACTTTTGCATAGCTTTTTTTGTTTGTATGAGTTGGTTGTCTGTTGACTGTTTGTGTATGTATATGTAGGAGATGGCGTCTGGTGCGTTTCTGTAGATTTAAAAAAAAACTTAAAACAGTTTACTTTGTTCACAATACAAGTATCTCTTTTATTATTGCAGTGAAACAGCCTCGTAGTTAAATAGCTTCATCGTTCCAATTATTATTTATTTTAAAACAACCACATTTTAATTATAGAACAACGTCCATAAATCTGTACATACGACAAATTAATTACGCTGGAACGCAGTGTGAATATTTTGCTGCCATTTATTTAAATTAATGAACAATGGCGATGTATGAAATATTATTATAAATTCCTTAATTATGCTGTCTGATGTAACGATTGATCATGCATGTGATATTTAAATCAAGGCGTTCTTTAGTCTTTTTTTTACTAAAAATATTTGTTTACTTGTAGAATTAAACACAGGAGTGTATTTTGTTAAGACGACTTTTTTGTTGAAGTGGTCATAAGTGTAACTTTCGAGCAATGGGTTATTAGGATAGGTCGTTAGACGAGCAGACGGATTACCTGATGGTAAGCAATCAGGCAGCGCCGACCATGGACAACCGTAACAGAGGAGTTACGTTAGTTTAGAGTTAGTTTAGAGTTTTGGAGATTAGGGATTGGGGAGGGGAACGATTGGGCCTCCGGTAAAATCACTCAAACGGCGAAACACAACGCTCTGCGGTTGTTTCACACCGGTTTTCTGTGAGGTCGTGGTATCACTTCGGTCGAGCCGACCCATTCGTGCCGAAGCATGGCTCTCCCACACATAAAGTTTAAGTATTTATTTCAATTTCTCTCACTCTCACCCCCCTTGGTTGTAAGAGGAATTATCATCCAAAGGCTTCTTTTCTGTCACCCAGGTTGAGGCGAGAGTGAGGCGTCAAATTCTTACCGACTAAAAACCCCCGTTTCTTCTCTTGTTCCTGCCGAGACAACAGTTTTTTTTTAATTTTATTTATTAATTTATTAAACACATTACATTGGACTTATGAAATAAAGATAGACCCACAAAAACTGACTGTGGAATCATTGTAAGTACTTCAGTACTCTCAACTCTGGCAGAACATCGACCCTGTCGGGCCCGGTCTGTGGTGGTCTATTGACTCTCACCCCCTACCACGTATAACTCGTACTTTGCAAAAACTCGTGAAACATGGGAGCTAAATTGCAAATACCTAACTAACGCAGACCATTGTGAGCCCTCTTTTGGGATAAAGGACTTGGCATTATGTATGGATCTATGTTGCACTAACAGCTACTAAGTATAGATCATCATCATCATCATAATCATCATCATCATCATCATCATCATCATCATCATCATCATCATCATCATCATCATCATCATCATCATCATCATCATCATCATCATCATCATCATCATCATCATCATCATCATCATCATCAGCCTGTTGTCGTCCACTGCTGGACATAGGTCTCCCCAATTGCACGCCACTGAGCTCAATGTTCAGCTCTTCTCATCCAACCACTGCCAGCCACCCTGCGGATATATTATCTAAGTATAGATAGAAAATCCAATTTCTTTACTATCAGTTAAGCTGGATTGCCGGTTTATAATACCGGAAAATATCATATTCGTTGAAAGCTTGGCTTTACTAAGCCCTCGTATAAATTTGCATGCATAGACAAGCATCGTATTGTCACAGATTGCCAGTGAAGCTTTTTTGCGTATAAGGGTCTTTGAACAAATATTTTGTTACTTACTAGTTTATATTTGTTAGTGTTATTTGTTTACCTTTACCAAACTGGATCACTTCTTTTCTGAGGTTGTAAGTTAGAGTTTATTTTGAATATTTATGAAAAGGTTACAGATGTTTGCTACATTCCAAAATTGTGTGAAGTTGAATAACGGGTCTGTGGACACCAGCCAGGTCTGCCTTTCGCTCAAAAAAAAGAACTATGCAAATTACTTAGCTTACTTAGCGTCCACCGAAATTAAAAACATCTACTTATTTAAAAGTCTAGACAAACATTAAGAAAACAAACTAATAACATCAATGCTCAAAATTAATGACCATAAAAATCCATTAACATCAATTCCTACAGAGTATTCCTAAGAATATTGGAAAG